TAAATCCCAGGGAAGATGGTCAACCCAGTTGCCACCCGTTAAATAAGCCCGGAGCGCAGCCTCGAGTGACTGGTGAAACCGCTCACACATCCCGTTAGCCTGCAGGTGGTACACCGTAGTGCAGTGGACCTTGACCCCTGGGCCGTCAGACATGGCAGATCAAAGCTCCAAAATGAACTGGGGGCCGCTGTCTGAGGTAATGTCAGCAGGGGGACCAAAACGCGAAACCACGTCGACACGAAAGCCCTGGCCATCGCTTCTGCCGTCATGGAGCCAGGGGGACCGCCTCCGGCCACCTGGTTGTGCAATCCAACACAGTCAAAAGGTGCGTGAAACCCTGCGAATAAGGAGGATGGCAAACCAGATCAACATTTACATTTACTGGTCGAAACGCCGACCAGGTACATGGAAGGGTTCGAGGGGCACTTGCTCTTAAACCAATTTCCACAGGCCTGGCCAAACGAACCTGGAGCTGACTGAAGCATATACGCCATGAAGAGAGAGGGCTGAGTTGAAAACGTGACGGAGCCACGAAAGGGGAACGACCAGTCGCAGCGACCGGTAGAAATGCGGACCGCTGTCCCACACCGGCTTGTCCTCCAACCCGAGGCCTGTCTACACGTAACGAAGTGCAAGGACGTCCGGGTCAGCGTGCTGCTTAGCGGCCATGGCAGTGTAGTCGGCGCTGACGTACACGGGAGAAACCAACACGCGGGACAGACAGTCAGCGACCCGTTGGACTTGCCAGACACATGGTGAATGTCCATCGAAATGGACTCCGAAATGCCCGCTAACTGGCGCTGCTGGCGAGCGTTCCAAGGGTTGAAATCTTGGTCAGATCGAAGGTCAAAGGCTTATGGTCGCAGACCAAGTATGGTCTGCGTCGACGAGGTGCCGAGGCAACAACTCTCTATGGAAAATGCTGCATTTGCTTTCGGCGTCACAGAGCGTGCGACTGAAAAAGGTGAGCGGCTTCCAGACGCTGGAGACGCTTTGTTCCAACACGGCACCCACCGCGGCATCCGACACGTCAGTGGTCTTTTTTGTTTGTTTGCCTTTCCCGTTTGGCTCTTTTGCATCAGAATTATTGTGTAAGGGCAAAGAAAGATGTCCAACGGATTTACTTTACCAAATTGACCATCCCAGCCTTGCCATAATGGTCTATTTGATTCACCTTTTATTGTTTATTTTATTTTATTTTCACTTGCTAAATACCCCAGACTTGACTGGGGAAAAGAAAAGGGAGAAAGAAAGAGGGAAAGAAAAACAGCGGAGAAGAGGGACGAGGGAGAAGGGCAAAAAACAACAAAATAAGCAGACAAAAAATGCATATATCAATCACCTGGATCACCTGTTCAGAAAAAAAAATTGAAAACAAGCAGAAAAAAGAGCAACATAATAAACAACATCACGATGATCTATGTGAATATAACAGTAAATACTAAATATTAAACATTATTGTGCAGCACGTAAGATC